CTGAATTTAATATTAAGTCTACAACTAATCAAATTTGGTAAGTCCCCACTATAAAATTTCTCTCAAATCAGAATTGACAGAGCCGTGGGGTCAAAAGGTAGAAGCATGTGAGAAAAGGCCCATGTATGCAGAAAACATTGTTAAGATCAAAACGTGAGAGAAAAAGGAGGGGATAAAGTGCTCTCTCTAATCCTCGGCCGAAAGCGAAAGAAAGGGAAGAAAAAAGCAGATGAAAAATAGAAAAAGAACTTATCATTAGTATTACTAAATTATTTTGGAGATGAACGTTATCACAAAACCATTGTAATAAGTTTTTTTTGTAAGAAGAGAACTATTTCGGAAAAAAGCTATATACTATGCGCATGAAGTTGCATCCACATACGGCAATAGCTTTTCATTGATAAGTTTCACTTAAGATAACAAATTAAAGGAACTTAAGACCATCATTGTCGCCACTAAATCCACTAAATTATAAGTGTATGTTTATTAAATAAGACTTCTATTGGACAAAATATAGTTCAAGCTAAATTGTATAGATGGGAGAATCTCCAAATTCTATAGAATCATTATTTGAATTACCATTAATTTGTTGAGAAAACGATAGTTTTTTTGTTTCGTCGTAGAAAGGAAAAACTTCAACCATAAGGCGGTGTGATTGTTTAATTAATCTATTAGCATAATAGAATAATAGAATCCTATAGATTTGGATATATATATAGAGCCCAGATTTTCTTCTTTTTCTTTTATTTTCATATGTTGGTGTTAAAGAACGCAAAAGTTGCATTGGATGCTTTTGGTTTAAATCAATGATGTTTTCCCATTTCCTATCTTAATTTCAACAATAAGATTATGATGTACTACATATTTTAGTGGCGAGATCTCAACTCTCAAGCCCTCGTGATTATGCAGTTCGCGGGTCAAAGTATATATTATTGATCGCATCAAAACCTCGATTCCTGTAAATTATGCCTTTGAATATTAGAGAAACACATCCCCGCCTTTTTTTTTTTGGTCTGAAGAAACATATTCCCTTACAACCATTAAAGTTATCAAATGATTAAACTTCAGCCTAAATTGTTTCTAGACTAAAAAAATATCACTCTCCTAGTCTCCTCAGTAGTTGGTTCTAAAACCTAAGATCTCTAGATGTATATAAAACGATAAATAAACATGATTGCGGGAGCCTAGTTTGGCTGAAGGACCTATATAAAGTCCATGATGACCGAGCAGACAACAACAATCTAAAGGAAGAAACTGTATCAGAATTGAGGGATAAGAAACGATTTTTTTATATATTGAATAAATAAGTTATGAAAATTTGACGAAGTATGGGTCATTTTGGATTATATCTAGAAACACGAATTCCAAAATATATATGCAGAAGGAATCTTGGAATTCAACAAAAAAAAGAAAAAACACTCGAATTGAATAATACCGTTGAATAATATATATGCACATATATATACTCCCCGTTCGTTAAATAGTTATGTCAAGATGTCACACACATACCAATACTATAATAAAAATACCTAAATTTTGAGATAATAGTGATATTTGACTATATATATTATCTTTCTTTAAAAAATTTATTTACAAATCTTTCCAACTATGTCTTATTATTTTAAAATTCTAAAACGACACTTTTTTAAAACAAATTACAAATCCAAAAAACGTCAATTAATGTGAAACACAGAGAGAGTATATTATTATAGCTAGACACTCTCAGAAAATAAGTTCAAATTGCAAAAATTGAACCGGATAAAGATCACCAGCGCATTGGAATGCAAGTCTTTTGCCAAATTGAAGAATTTGGTCCCGCGCGTCAACAAATACAAAGCTAGAGAAGCACACAAGGTGGGAAAAGATCATTCGTTAATTTTAAAGTTCAAATTATTCTTGATGATTTCGCTCATATTAGTATGCGCCAATTCAGTGAGCGTCAAGGAAAAATAAACATGGAGAATAAGAAATCTTGAAGCGACATTGGAAATGAAAATTACACAATGTTCATGATCCTCGTATGCACTATATTGGCTGTCGGCAGATCATGCCATCGCTTTTTTGTTTTGGTTCAAAACTTCAAATCACATGATGGTTGCCTTCTGGCCAAGAAAGGGTTATATTATGATGGTCATCAATCCCTTTTGCCAAGCAATGAGCGTCAATCCTTTCTATCAAATTTTAACTGTGACTTACCAACTCTAATTAAAGTGCGCAAATCAAAACAAAGCTTTGCTCTAATTTGTCGTTTATCACAAATCCTATATATATATATATATATAGTCTTCTTGTTCATTTTGAACAAAGCATGTGGTTTGATTTGATTTGTAGACCCAACATAACAAAACCGAGATTGTGTTAACATCAAATCAGATAACTATCAAATCAAACAAGTATATGTGACCAGAAGTCGTACGTATATACATGAAAATGGGGGGCCTTCAATTCATCCCTCCAACAACTGGATCATCAAGACAATCCCGGGTATTAGGAATTAGGTGAACTGGTAAAGAAAAGGAAACATTGATTCATCTAACAATATTTCTCATTTGACATATATATAGAGGGTGAAATAGGAGTTAATTAGGTCCCGTTTGCTTGACTTCTATTCCACACACAGCCATATTTCGTCAACACGGACCATCTAAATATAAATTTGGTCTCATGGTTTAATTTAAATTTGTAGGAACTTTGCTGGCATGCATATTTATGAACCCAAAATACGAAAAGAATTTTTTTTTTTTCCTTATCGTCTTGTTAATTCGTGGTCGTGCGAATTGCCTTTGTTTCTCTCCTTTCGATATAGAATAGCCAAAGAATAACCGACCAAAGCAGAAAAGTTATTTTTCCCTTTTCAATTGCCAATGCGAAAAAGGAAAAAAAAGAGGAATTAAAGCTGAAGCAATGAAAAATCCAGCATGTGAGCCAAAAAAGGGCAAGTTGTCTATCGTCCAAAGTTTTGTGGATCGTGGTGGCCATCGCCTTCTGTTCGTTCTATTGCTTTCACGAAAGACAAGTAGTTTGGTAGCGTATCGTTCACTTCTCCACCGTCCAAAATTTTCCAGCCCTCATTTTCAGAGTCAACCTCATTCACGAGCTTCCTTGAAATTTTGGTTTTATGCTATTCAAGTGTCATACATTTGACAGCTTTCTTATTGAAATAGAGACTTTTGTTTTTTTATATTAATATATAGTGGGTTCACATCGCCTTGTGAAACATAATAATATGAATATATGTTTCGACAAAAAAAAACAACATAATAATATGAATATATAATATTATATATATATACGGGTACCACAGGATACAGAAATTTATTGATTTTGCACCGAGTGATTGTCAAACTATCTGCTTATCGACAAGTGTATATTATTCTCTTTTTTTTTTAATCGAGGTTTTACTAAGCGATTTTTCCTTTAATAAAACTTGACTTTCTCGCAGTCAATGCACATTAATACATTATAAAAGAAATTGTAAGATATTGTTTGTGTTTTATGTGACGCATACCCTTGGGATACTTGCTTGAGTTGAGGGCGATCTTCACGTTTTGGACATATATATCGAAACAAATCGTTTAAAACAATAATATCTACCAAAATACCATTTGTCCGTTTGGAATGTAACGGAAACCTGCTTTTCGTGATAAAAGAAAATGAGTAAACCAAGATGATGATAAACATAATTAATAAGTAATTTTTTTTCGATAACAATTAATAAGTAATTTTGTAGCTGATGAATATACACCACGAAAATACTGAAATTTATAGCTGTACTAACCGGAAATGTGAGAAACATATTTTAAAGAATGGTAAGCAAGTACCATAAACAGGATTTTCAAATAGGCGGCGTAGACTTTTAAAGCCCGGCGAGCGGCGGATAATAATACTCCTTCTTTTTCATTAGTTTCTTTTTCCCTAAAAACCAGGGTTAGGAGAAGTCATCATATAAAACTATGAAAAAAACTGTGATACTTATCTAATTCAATTACACCATCATAAAAAGAGCATAATACAGGTTTATTATCTGTTTTTGGGGTCAGATCCAGGTTTTCCTATAGCAAAGTACAGCTTGCAATCACATCACTGTTGAACCATAACGAAATGATGATTCTTAATCAATTGATTGATTGTTCAAAAAAATCAATTGATTGAGTAAAAAAAAAAAAGAAGAAAATACTTGATGATGATCCAACCAGTGAAGAGTAATTTAATTTTGTCATATACTACCATAAAAGCAAGCATTTTAAGCTGGGATTTTCCCACTGAGCAAATAAAAAAAAAAAAGCGGCGGATAAAGTTTCCTTCCCGGCAAAACTAACGTGGCACTTCTGCGAGGAGGAGGACAGTAAATTGGAAACTGACAAGTGCCAAGTGGCCATACTTTTGTTGTTGGTAGTCATACAATTACAGACCTCAACTACAAAGCAGTACTTCTGTTTCGTAGCCTGGTGGTGTCAGTCATTGATTACTGATACTACTTTATTACTGCTACTTACATCTTAACACCAAACACCCACATTTTTAACAACCCGAGTTTCTTTTTTCTGGTCAAAGTACACACAAGCCAGTGCTTCTTTGCTCTTTTGCTTCTTCCTTCACTTCACTCACTACTGGTGGTGGTGGAAGTTGCGGCGGCGGCGGCGGCGGCGGAGGCCGGTGAGTGGTGACGGAGCATTGAAGAACAAGCGAAAATGACATTCATGAATACCTGAAGACCAGATTTTTAATTCATTAATGGTGGGTATTAGTAGTGTTTGTTGAAGAAGGTGTCCCCTTTTTGGTGTATCCTTTTCAGCAACCGTCTGGTACTCCAAACCCACTTCCTTTTTCTAACCAATTCTCTCTTTTGCACTAAATCCTCATAATTTTTCTCCATATCTTAAGTTAATCCCGTACGTGTGTCACTATCACCTTAATCCTCATCTCTTCACCAAATCCCTCTCACCTTACTTTTCCCTCCCTCCTTCGCTCTCTCAACGGACAGAGGAACTAACCCTTCAATGGAGCCGCCGTTGCCGGAGAACTGCTGCAGTGTTAAAGTTTCTGTGCACATACGCCCGCTTGTCGACGACGAACGCGCTCAGGGTTGCAAAGAATGCGTGGCCGTCACGCCCCGTAAACCCCAGGTATAGTGTTAATTACTAGAGCATTTTTCGGTCGCGTTTCGTTACGATTAATTAGCATTTATGATTTTAGCTAATTAATTAAGCCGGGGGGTTTTAGGTGCAAATTGGCGCGCACTCGTTCACGTTTGACCACGTGTACGGCAACGCGGGGGGGTCGCCGCCGGGGATCATGTTTGAGGAATGCGTGGCGCCTCTGGTTGAGGGGTTGTTCCAGGGGTATAATGGAACAGTGCTTGCATATGGTCAGGTAAAAGTGCTTGCTCTCTTTTCTTTTTCTTTTGTTTTGTTTTAGGGGGTTCTTCTTTTTTTTAAAAAAAGAGAGATTGGGTTTTGATGATGTGTTTGGGGGTGTTTGTTTTGTGGCAGACTGGATCGGGGAAAACGTATACGATGGGGACGGGCTTCAAGGAGGGTTGCCAGAGTGGGGTGATACCTCAGGTCATGGATGCTTTGTTTACTAAGATTGAGATGTTGAAGCATCAAAGCGAGTTTCAGTTGCATGTCTCCTTCATTGAGGTACTCTTTCTCTTCGGCTGATAGTGATAATCTCAGGTTGAAGATTTTTGAACTTCACCTCTACAGGGAAGTAACATAATGGTTACTTACCATAATCTTTGTGCATTCAATGAGTAAGATAACTTCGCCAGTATTTAGTTGGTGGAAAATCCAAAGAAATTTTGTTTACTAATTTAGCTTGAGATAGTGCATGACTTGGAAAGGTCTGATGAGTTGGATGGGTACCACATTTCTTGCTTGCTTTAGTTATTTCTAACATTGGGATTCAACTTTGAAGATTTTGAAGGAAGAGGTGAGAGACCTGCTGGATTCGGAATCTTTGTGCAAATCAATAGCTACCAATGGAAAAGTCTCGGTTCCTGGAAGGCCTCCAATTCAAATTCGGGAATCATCTAATGGAGTTATAACACTGGCCGGGACGACTGAAGTGGCTGTCAGTACATTGCAAGAAATGGCTACTTGTCTGGAGCAAGGATCATTAAGTAGGGCGACAGGAAGTACAAACATGAATAACCAGTCTAGGTATTTGAATATCCAAGACTCCATTTCTTGCTTTATTGAAGAAGGATAATGCAAGCAGCTGTTGCACCTGCTCAATTCATTCTAATTCAAACCGCTCAGTTCTTGACAAATCATTCCTTTAAGACGCTGTTTTGAGTGAATCTAAAGTGGAATGTAGCTGTCCTCTAGCATTTGGGACTATTCCTTGCATTTGCATGGTGGTGTTTTAGAATAGAGCATCACTGATTGCATTCATATATTGTCTTTTAGAATAGAGCATCACGGTTTAGGAAAGTATAATATCCAAACTTTATTGTAGGAGAATGGTATTTTACATGTGAATACATATTCTCCATCAACAATCCTGAGATTGTCCAATTCTCTTTTGCTTAATATGTGAATCTTCAGCATCTAATGCCTTGCCATCCCTTCTATTTGTTCATGATAGTCGGTCGCATGCCATATTCACCATCACATTAGAACAGATGCGCAAAGTCCATTCAGTTTCTCCTCTTGATGACAATCCAGATGAGGATATGGGTGAAGAATATTTCTGTGCAAAGCTTCACCTGGTAGATCTGGCTGGTTCTGAACGAGCAAAGCGTACCGGTTCTGATGGTCTTCGTTTGAAAGAGGGTATATAATGCACAGAACAGAATTACCCTCCTGTATTTTGTCACTACTAGTTGTATCATAAACAATTAACTGTGTAAAATTGCAATTCTGTTTTCATGAGCAGGTATTCACATTAACAAGGGGCTTCTTGCACTTGGTAACGTTATCAGTGCGCTTGGAGATGAGAAAAAGCGAAAAGAAGGTGTGCATGTTCCCTACCGAGACAGTAAACTGACCAGACTCTTACAGGTTAGGCTAACATCTCACTGACCTGTGTGTGAATTTTGATATGAGACGTGTGTATATTTTGCCAAGGTAACTTCGATCTTCCTTTATCAGTATTTTGAATGGTGACGCTAGTATCTTTCTTGTTTGCCTGCGCAAGATATCACCTATTTGGTAGTAGAATTATATCGATAGGCACATTCCCATGATAAACTTTTTTTTTTCTTTTTGATAAACATGATACACTAGCTTTAGATATTCACATTCATTATATTAGTCCTCGAGAACTTTCTTTACTATGTGTTAAACAATCCTGTATAATTTAATACAGAGTTTTGTTGGGGCAATCACCCTATGGGCCTCTCCAAAAACTTTTGTTGCCTAAGCATTGTTTAAATAACATCCCATGCTTAGAGGCATATAAGGATTGTTAGGAAACATGTAGTTTGGTGTGGGCTATAAGGTCTTATGTAGCTTTTGCTTTTGAGGTTTGAATTATGTTTGTGGGGTGTCTGGTTAATGGTCGTTTTAGATCTTTTCCTTTTCTTGACTTACAATAGCAACAGACTGGTGGTACTTTTTGTGTTAGATATAGCAGACAAAATTATTTTTATTTTGTACTGTTAACTATTTAGAGGGGCTGGAGCTGAAACTCAGTAATGTTCTTGCTTTCTTTCTCATCTCCCTTACTTTCAGTGTTTTCTAATTGTTGTTGACTTATAACATTTTGCAGGATTCACTTGGTGGAAACAGCAAGACAGTTATGATAGGTAACCAGTGTTTCACTTTCTAGACGTTGTGGAAATTTTTCCTGCTCTTGATTGCTCCATACTTTTGTCAGAACCTTCCATTCTTCTCTCAATGCATTGAAAATATTGCACTTTTTCCAGCTTGCATCAGTCCTGCAGATATCAATGCCGAGGAAACTCTCAACACTCTTAAATATGCAAATCGTGCTCGTAACATTCAAAATAAACCTGTTGTAAGTTTCTTACATGAGTCGCTCAGGACTTGATGCACAAATGCCAACATTAGTCTGCTTTACCTTTTTTTTTCTTTGGTGCTGTACCTTTTCATGCAGATTGTGAATTTTGTTCTGTTCTCAACACAACATGTCTCCTACGTGCAAATGAAATTCTTTATTTTGGTCTACAGGTTAATAGAGACCTCATATCAAGCGAGATGCAACAGTTACGCCAGCAACTAAAGTACTTGCAAGCTGAACTTTGTGCACGTGAGAGTGGATCTCTGTCTGATGAGGTGCAGGTATATACTCTACATAAACTCTATGTTGATGAAGCTAATTGACTTTCCATTAAGTTTCCATGGCGAAATATTTGCACTAGTTTTTCTGCATACTTACTGATTGATATCATTGATTCAACAGCTTCTAAAGGAAAAGATCACTTGGCTTGAGGCTACCAACAAGGATCTTTCTGAGGAACTACATGAATACCGCAGCAGACGTGCTATTGTACAGCATTACGAATTCGATACCCCAGTATGTCAATAAATGCTACTCACTCCTTTTTCTTCCTGTATATGTTCTTTTGTCTTCCCAAAAGAAGTTTCTATTCAATTAGTAATGATCGCTTGTAGCCTTTTCTGTACGTGAAACTTTATTGTGTATATGTCCCTTTGGTGGCCTCTAGTTAAGTCTAGTAAATCAGAAAATAGTACAGTTTTTGTGCTAAACTGTGCAGAACTAAGAGTTTTGATTTTAATTGTTAGGATGGCTCTTCCTTCGCAAATAGTGATGGGCTTAAGAGGAACTTTCAGAGCATGGATTCGTATGATTATTCAATGGATGAAACTATAACAGGTAAATCACTTTTTTGCATTTTACTCTGGATCTTTCAGATTGCTGGGAATAGATACTCACACACACATGTATACATCATCGTATAAACTTGTTAAGTATTGGTTTTTTGGGTTTTTATCTAGAATTTCCTGTTCATTCATTTTGAGCCTCCAAATTGCTACCATATAACAACAAGATCCTACTTAAAAGTAGATTATGCGACTTATTTTTTTGCCTTGGCCACTTCTTTACATTTTAGTAGCAATTTCATTTGAAGGTGGAAGTTCTGGGGAGATTGATGAAGCAGCGAAAGAGTGGGAGCATGCCCTTAAGCAGAGTACCATGGATAAAGAACTGAATGAGCTAAACAAACGTTTGGAGCAAAAAGAGGTTGCTTTTTATTGGCCTTGTCTATCCTACATACAGTTTGATGAGTAAAAAGATAAATGTCTTTATTACAGGCTTTAACCATTTGAATCCTTTGTGTGTGTACTTGTGGGTTAGTCAGGTCAGTATCTATGTAGTTTTGTTTTGTAAAACTATAAGGCTCTCTGAGAAACTTCAAACTGGTGGAAAATGTATTTTGTGAAGTCTGCCTTAGCTGTGCATTTACATCGTATTTTGCAACAAATAGTCTATATAGTTTAGTGCTCAAGCGGGATGGGTGTGCGTTTTAACCAACTTTTTAAAATCACTTCCTTGGCCTTTTCAATATTTCCAGTATATATGCAGCGCCTTGCGTAATCATCTTTTCTTTTTCTGTAAATATCAGAATTCAACATTTCCTGAGAAACATGAAATGAGTGTTATGGCTCTGGAAATTAGCGTTTTTTTTTGTCTCAAGAACCAAATAAAAAATGTTTACAATTTATACGTAAGAAATGCCAATCTGGAACTCTTAGAGTAGACAACTTGTTTTCTACTGCTTGAGCTTTGATACTGAAGCATCAATATTTTTTTGAAGTAACTATGATCTCCCGGCAAGGCAAGCCCGTTTCTTGCTTTCTCTCATAAGAAAATGATCTTGTCTGCTGTAAAAAGAAGTCAATGATTTTTAGTTCTTTCTGTTAGCGAGGTTACTGAGCTGTGGAAATTGGTACTTGATGACTGCTTGTAACTGGAAGGCCTTAAAACATTAGCAAATAACATGCAGATAAATCTTCATTTGGTCTTTATGAAGTACTGTGATATTTACTGATCAGAGTTAGGGATAGACCTTAATACCGTGTATTTAATTGGGGCTTTTAATGCTCTTCCTTTTGTCTTAATTGACTTTCAAAATATGCAGTCTGAGATGAAATTATTTGGAGGGGTCGGGACTGAGGCTTTGAAGCATCACTTTAGAAAGAAAATCATGGAACTTGAGGAAGAGAAAAGAATTGTACAGGTTAAATCTGATATGATCTATTTTCCTTATCTATAATGGCTTCATAATCATGGCTGATGTTAAGCAGAACAAATGCAGGCAGAGCGGGACCACTTGTTGGCTGAAATTGAGAATCTTGCGGCTAATTCTGATGAGAAAACTCAGAAAGCACAAGATGGTCATACTCAGAATTTGAAATCTCTTGAGGCACAGGTGCCAATACGTACCATGTGATTATCATTCTGTCAACTGAATACGAGTTTCTTAATTCAATTTTTTCCCGTCTTTCAATTCAGATTCTACAGCTTAAGAAGAAACAAGAAAGCCAGGTTGAGCTCTTAAAGCAAAAACAAAGAAGTGACGAAGCAGCAAAGAGGTTGCAAGCTGAAATCCAGTATATCAAGGGTCAGAAGGTTGGTTTTATGCCTGATGCTTTAACTGAGTATCATTTTTTTTTAATATAAATCTCAATGATGTAGATATCTGTGACAGCTTGTGGAGTCTTTGGTTTGGACAGGTTAAGTTGCAGCATAAGATAAAACAAGAAGCTGAACAATTTCGATTGTGGAAGGCTTCTCGGGAGAAGGAATTGCTGCAGGTGTTACAGTTTTTCATTAAATTGATAACCGTCTTTCTCTGATTCATTGAGCTCTGAAATTTATGCCGTCTCAGAAACGATGTCATTTCATTATGACTCGCTGACTTTTTGGAAATTTGATATATATGTTAACGGCAGTTTTGGTTTGTTTTTGCTCAAGCAGCTGAGGAAGGAAGGAAGGAGAAATGAGTATGAGCGACATAAACTTGAAGAATTGCATCAACGCCAGAAAATGGTAAAACACTGTACACAGGATTAAGGATTTAGAGATAGCCATTGGAAACTGGACGTTTTGGACTTTGCTTTTCTAGCCTTGATTCATATGACTTGATTTCTCAAATCTAAAGGTTGGTGTAATTGAAATGTTTGGTTAGGTGGTTCAAAGAAAGACAGAAGAGGCAGCAATGGCTACCAAAAGACTGAAGGAGTTGTTGGAAGCTCGCAAGTTTTCAGCCCGTGAGAATGGTAAATTTGCTTCTGCCGATCCGTGAATTGGCCTGGCTTTATAATTTCTCGCACTCTAATTTTGCTGCCATTGTTTGCAGTTAATCCAAATGGACATGTGCCTTCTGGACTGGTAAGTATCTATTATGATCGAGCTATTTCTTTGACTGAAACAAGTTACCTGCAATCTGCTGGTGTCTGTTAAATCCAACAACTTTATGAATATGTTGGGGTTCGGTTTACAATCCTATCTGTGAGCAATGTGGTACCTGCCCTAATATATTTGGGAAAGACTATCACTTTGTCAAGGACATATTGTATTTGAACAGATTGGCTGGCTGTATGGATATTGTAGCTACTTTAATGTGACCTTAGTGCATCTAAATCACACTGCAGTCTGCTGAAACAGATTCATCTATTACTTGTACAGTGGTTTTGTCATTGAAACTTACCACTACAACAATACTTATGTCAGTTCTACTTTTAGGGCAATGAATACTCACGTCTTTTCTACTTTTAGGGCAATGAGAAATCCTTACAAAAGTGGCTGCATCATGAGCTAGAAGTCATGGTGAAAGTGCATGAGGTTCGCATTCAACATGAAAAGCAAAGACAACAGTATGTAATCTGTAAATTTCTTTGTTTGTTTTCATCAATATAAGCTTTCTCGAATATTGCCCAATTGTTTTCTCATCCTAAATCATCACAGTCAAGCTGCACTAGCAGAAGAATTAACTTTTTTGAAACAAGTGGATTCAATGTCTCCAAATGGGCATACTACACAGAAAGGAATGAAAGGACATTCTAGGTATGCGGTAATGATATGTTTCTCAATAATTCTTGCTTCTATGTCTGCATATTGTAATTGACTGGTCAAAATGAAAACAATATTAAAGGGTAAAGCTGGAAAAAGTATCTTTTGCTGTTATTTTATTAACTTATATGTTTGTTGTTTGTGCTCCTTTTAATCAATTAGATTCTTGATGTCACCAAACGCAAGAATGGCACGAATAGCTTCTCTGGAGAACATGTTAAGCATGTCTTCAAATGGGCTTATGGCAATGGCTTCGCAACTTTCAGAGGCAGGAGAGAGGGAGCGAACTTCGATTGGACGTGGACATTGGAATCAGATACGCTCAATGGGAGAAGCAAAATCCCTGCTTCAATATATGTTCAATGCTGCTGCAGAAGCAAGGTTATATTGAACGAAAACTGGGATACATTTCTCTTTATTAATCATTTCCTTTTGCAAATGATATAAATGCATATTATTATCTTGGACTGTAACTCTGCTTGATCACAAATTTCTTCTGCATATGGTAAATGGTATGCAGTGATCTCAGTCCTACTCCAAGTAGTGGCTAATGAAGTGTATAATTTTCAACTTATATCTTTTATGCCAATAAGATAATTCTGTCACCATTATTCCGTTGTATGGACGAGGATGACTCTGTTTGCCTGCATTGTTTGTTGTCAAAATTAAGTAGGTCAGATGTGATCTTATTTGCGCAAGAAGAAGCAGTAAAATTTGTTTGCTTCGTGAGCAATAAAATATTGTGCCTATTCTGGAGTGATAGTAATCCTGGTATTTATCTTTCAACAGGTGCCAATTGTGGGAAAAAGATATGGAAATCAAGGACATGAAAGATCAGCTTAACGATCTTGTTACTCTGTTACGTCAGAGTGAGGCCCAGAAGAAAGAACTTGTGGAGCAAAAGATAAGGGAACAAGCTGTTGCCATTGCCTTAGCTACACCACCTTCGGTAAGGATGTGCTATAAGATCCCCCTATGGTTGTCATTTCTATGACATGTAGCTGCATTATACCTTCCCCTAATGTTAGGTTGCTCAGATAGGATGTCCTATTCTGCGATCAATGATTAAACACACTTGTATTGTAACCAAAAGGGCTGTTGATGTGAATATAGAGACTTCTAACCCAGAATTTGATGGTTAATATGCTAAGGGTTCTATTTTGCACCATAAAAGTCAATTATTGGGTTTCTATTGCAAATGTTACTTGATTAATAGTTTGTAGTTTAACGTGGAAATCAGCTGTTTTGAAAGTATCCTTAAGAAGATAGTCTTTGTGGGTCCAGTGAGGCTATTGTTACAAATGACCATGTGGTCTTGTGGCAACTACATTCCTGCATGAGTCTATAAGTTCTTGTTCAAAGTCAATCATCAGCGAATGTGATTTGGGTTTTGAGAGCAACTCTTCTTGAGTGTCGCAACCCCAATGACTAACAATGAAAATGTTTTGTTTGGACTTTTGGGTTGAAATCAACAGGGAAGGACACGCAGTTCAAATAAGCACCGTGTAGATGACACAACTGGTCCTCTATCCCCAAGATCTCTTCCAGCTCCAAAGCAACTAAAATTCTCACCTGGGATTGCTAATGGATCTGTTAAAGAAGCAGCAGCATTTTTGAACCAGACACGAAAGGTAACACCCTTACTTATGCATGCCTTTTTAGATTGTGATCTAATGCAGCTGCTGTGACTCACAGATGGTGCCAGTTGGACAGCTGTCAATGAGGAAAGTGGCAGCTGTTGGGCAATCTGGAAAGTTGTGGAGATGGAAGAGGAGTCATCATCAGTGGTTGCTTCAGTTCAAATGGAAATGGCAGAAACCCTGGAAGCTCTCAGAATGGATAAAACACAGTGATGAGACAATCATGAGGTCAAGGACTCGGACTCTTGTCGATATGGTATGACAGCCGTGTTTTGCCAGCTTTCTCGATGATCTAATGCATCTTGAATGTTGGTTAGCGTGCATGATATGATGCATGGCCGACGGAAGAAGCAGGAATGGAGGTAATCTAAGCTTCTTGTTTCACCTTTTACGTACTAGTTATCGCTCATACTGCTCAGAAAATGACAGGAGTTGTTTACTTGGCAATTAACATACGTTAAATAATTTGTACTTACGAGTCTTATGGCTTCAAGTCATCAAAAGCTCAGGCAGCAAGGCATTGCAATGTGGAGGGTTTAGATGTTAAATAGCAGCAAGCAGACTTGTGATATTTTGTGTGTTATTACTTCTTTTTCTGTTATATTCTGCGGGAAAGTGCTTTGAGAATGGTTATATTCCTTCAAGAATGCAGGAATTTTGTATAATGGGAAGAGGGAAGTGCTGTTCTTTTTTTGTTGAGATATCAACTGGGTGTGTATACTATTGAGGAAATGTTGCTGATGAAGTTTGCCGGAGGGACTGGCCAAATCATCACGTGTAAGCTTCCTTATCGTGTTGTTGATGGGCTTGCAAAAGGTTTGGAATTTGCTAGGGGGCCTTTCTAACCCATATGACTCCGTACATTTGGAAGGTCTCTCGTGATAGTGTTGCCCGATCTTTATTTTTCTGGGTTCGTTTATTCTTTTGTTTTATTTGTATCATGTTGATGATAGATTGTAAATTGTTCGGCCCAGTACAGGATTTTGTGCATTGTTCCAATTTCTCTGTATATATCATGATTTTGTTAGTGTTAGCATGGAAAATAAAGAGCATCTTTGTTGCGGGATTATTTTGTCCCCAGTTTGATGGTTTTTATCTTTTTTTATAAACAAATAAATGTGCTTAGATTTGAGCGTAAGCCATAGCAGCTATTTGTCTATAATGCAATCTGAAACTGACCTCAACGTGGAAGAAAAGGTATGGTTTTCATCTTTTAATGGACTTAAGGTACCGACCCCATTCCCACCACTAGCCAGCCGAATGGGGTCTCCCAAATTAAGATGGTTGGTTAGCTTATTCATCGCAACAACGAATTACAAAGCCAGTCTCAGTCTCCGGTTAAAAACTAAATAAAGGGGAAAAAGAAAAGGGGAGAGAGACAGGCTGACAGGGAACTAAAAGATGATCTCGAACGTTGTGTGTGTTAGTTCAGGTGATGGGGATGATGTCTTTCGCCGGAAAGGCTTCTACGGTGGGATGCAATATTATGGCCCGTATACGCACTAATTGAAATCATGGACTCGTGGGCCTTGGGCATAAGATGCCATTCCCAGAAAACACCACATCTCCCTACTGCAAAAGGCATAACCCAACTTTCTTAAAATCAGAAATGGTCCCCACGTGCTGAAGGACAAGACCGGATTCATGCTTTTAATTGTTGGACTACTAAACTCAATTTGCTATTCTCTTTTCCCCCCTTCGTCTTCGTTATATTATCATTCAGTCAATAGCTTTTTTCTTCTTTTTCTTTTGTCTGTAAAGAGAATTGAATTGATTGGGCGATACATAATATAAACCTTCTTTCCTCAAAGATGATACGATACATCTGGGCAGTCCCAAACTATGACGAAGCAAAATTCAAAATTACAATAGAGGGAAGGAAGCCTTTACAAAATCATGATTTTATCTACCATATCAAGGTTACAACAACATCATCCCATGGTGTGCTTTTAATCATCTCATCAGGGATGTCCCAAGGGATCAAAACAATTCCCCGCGTGTCCATCTTACTACCTCACTGGGTGGAGGTATCTTCTTTATGAGTAGCAGGGATCTAAATTGACTGCTTTTGCGTTTCCATTGTGCGCCATTCAATCAAATGTAGGCATCAGTCTTGGAGGATCTCTGACGGCTACTTAGCCCTCCACCAGGATACTTTCCTTTATTTCTTGTATCATCTTCAATACTTGCCACATTGCTGGCCTCTGTTCTGGTGATGTCAAGCTACAGACACTGGCAACTTCTGTAAGCATTCCAAGCTGATTATCATCCCCACCATCATCGTCCCTCATTGCCCTAACCCAGTCCAACATATCCGCAGGCACAAGATATGGGTGCTGTGATGGATGTTTACCAGTCAAAAGCTCCAACAATAGGACCCCAAATGCATACACATCTGACTTAGGGGTGGCTTGGCGGCTAGATTTGCGGGTCTCAGGTGCTCTGCATGCTGCAGAATCGGGATCCTCACTAGCACAAGTATCTGCTAGGATGGCGAGGCAGTAATCCGTAATGCATGCCTCAAAATCAGCTCCGAGGAGGACATTGGAGGATTTCAGGTTACCATGGACCAGCTTTGATGCTTGGTGGATGTAGGCAAGACCCTGGGCCACATCTTCAGCTATCTTTAAGCATGACGTCCAATGAAGGGGCTTTGCTCTCACTGATCTCGAACCTATCCACATTTTTATCAGTAGTTAGCCGCACATGGAATCTGCTACTTAATAAACTTTCACCACCAAATCATTTTTACCACATTTATTTGGAATTAGCACATCAACCTGATGTAAGTTTCTCGATGTCCATTTTCTGAGATTTACCCTTTGGGAATACCCCATGCAATGCAAGAAAAGTAGATACCAATGCAAACATTTACAATCAGGAAACAATGTAGCGTCATTCAGAATGTTCACTAACAATTTAGACATGCAGGGAGTGGTTCACTCCCTGGATTTTGTTACTTAGATGTAGTTTCTGTTCTATGTTTGAGCTTTGTTTCTTCTCCATTCACTTAAATGACTTTTCCTGCTTGTCAAGAAAATGCATAAGCTATATGAATAGTATTTCTTCGAAAGATCACTATCATCAGTTAGGATAGACAAGGTAAATTTGCTTTGACATATGTAAACAGGGAACACCAGAAATGATCCTTGATGTTCTTTGGATCATAAAGATTTTGACAGTTGGATAATTCTCGTCAAGTTAGGACATTTTAGATCATGATAACTTTGGATTAGCGGTTCTGGACCAAACAGGTTCCCTGAAGATCACGCACCATTGCGGAAGTGGATTCCAAATGGTTCAAACCAGTGGACTTCACGCGTCCAGTGCTGAACAACGTTCAGGATATGCATTCCGCATTTTGGAGCACAAAATATTCAAGCAGCAATTCGCATTTATGAGAACTTGAAATTATCCAGTAGTACAGAGGGGATAACTGGACCACCGGTAATCCTTTTGTCGTTGTCCTTGGACAGGAAGAATATAATCTAGGTATAGACCAACTTACTCCCATCTTGAATTGTTCCATCCAGCTTTTTTAGCAAGCTAGCTCAACTATACAACTGCATTCTAATTGATAGAAAGAAAACCACACCATACAAACTCAACTATAAGTACTTGACAATCTGTTACTTCATGTTACACCATGTCAAGTTGGACCTTTTTTATTACCAAGAGAATCTTGTAACATAATAAACAATGACATAATCAATCAGGGGACATAAGAAAAAACAGTATTGCATGCGTATATGCCAGTGTTCACCTAATTTAATTTTTAACACAAATAGCTAATAACTAATAACGAATTGACAGAATGGTTTGGCAGTAATGGGTTAAATAAATCACAGTACCATGCATAAAACAGAGCAATTAGATTTGGATATATAAATTATAAGGGTCAGCTCAATGAAATGCGTGAATGTTTGATTATATTAGTGGGTTGAGTCAAACATGACCTAGTTATCCATAGAGGTTCTGCTTACAAGCTTGCTGTCTATTTTGGAGTAGGAAGACTAACACTCTATAGCATATATATATATAACACAATGAATATTAATGATTCACATACTATCATCTACCAATGGACTGAATATTAATGATTCACATACTATCATCTACCAATGGACAGCACAAGCACCAGAACCAGCACCACAAATCCAGATACTGCTACCAACCAGCGGCATAACGTGGGGCTTAAAAAAAAAACATTTTAACAAGGAGACCTCATAGTCATATGTCGGTAGGTCTAGGCTATTTCCACAGGCCCACAATGAGAGTGACGAAATCTGTTACCCAAAATCCCCAATCCTCAACTCATTTAAATATGGAAATAAAAAATCCAAGTCCCTTGCTGTGCAGTTTGATAAGCCTAATACTGCCGGAGATATGGTCCCAACTAAGCAAGCAAGCAATGAAAACGCAGGAAATAGAATCCAGATTAAAAACAAAAAAGACTAAGAAAGAAGAATATACCGTGAATGAGATTGAAGAGGCTGCCATTAGGTTGATACTCATAGATGACGAGCCTCTCGCCTTTGGCCTGAAAGTAAGCGGCCATCCTCACCAAATTGGGATGACCAAGCAAACCCACATGTTCCATATGCCTTTCAAACGCTTCACTGCTCGTAACTGCAGTCTTGCTGGCGTCCAGCCTCTTCACCGTCACTATCATCTGATTATCCATCAGCGCCTTGTACGTCGTCCCCATCGTTCCCCTCCCCAGCAACTCCGCCGACGCTCTCATTAACTGCTCCAATGTGTACACCTGCGCTTCCCCGCAGAACACTAGTCCCCCGCTCTTGCTCCCCGCCCTCACCGCCACTGCTTCTCCCACCTCGATATCTTTCGTCTTCGCCGCCGCCGCCGCCGCCGCAGCATTACCGTCAACTTTCACAGCCTCGGCGGGTTCTGCTCCGGCCAACCTGACCGGACTCGCCGACGGAGCAGATACGTTTACAGTTCTGTTCCTCTTTTTGTTGATCAAAACCGCCCCGACGCACAAAATCGCGGCGGCCAAGACCGAGAGGACAACGGCGAACACCAAGACGACGTTGGTCCGCTTGTGCTTCGCACTCGAAGGGGGAGCCAGCGCCACCACCACTCCGCCTTCCGCCTGCGCGCTCTGCCCAAACGGCGCCGTCGCATTCGCCGACGAGGAGGTGTTATTCTCGAAGAACGGAGGACGCGAGCGGCAGGGTCTGTTAATAATCTCGCCGCAGAGATCCGCGTTCCGCTGGAACGACGCCGCGCCGAACCGCGAGAGCGTGGGCGTCACCGGAACAGGCCCGCTGAGGTTGTTCCCGGAGACGTCGAAGGCGACCAAGAAGGTCTGGTTTAGGGGCGGGACGGTGCCGTTGAACCAGTTGGACTCGAGCTTAAGGTAGGAAAGGCGGTCGAGGGAGTTGAGTTGAGGGGGGAGGGGGCCGGAGAGGTTGTTGTGGGAGAGATCGAGGAGGGTGAGGCGGTGGAGGGAGAGGAGGGAAGGAGGGAAGGAGCCGGAGAAGAAGTTGCGGTCGAGGAAGAGGGATTTGAGGTTGGAGAGAGGGGAGAGGTCAGGGAGGGGACCGAAGAGGGAGTTGTTGTGGAGGCTGAGGACGCGGAGCTGGTCGAGGCGGGAGAGGGTGGAAGGAGGGAAAGTGCCCCGGAGGGAGCGGGAGTGGAGGACGAGGCGGACGACGCGTCCCTGGGCGCACTTCACTCCTTGCCACTGGCAGTAGTCGAAGCGCTCGTTTAAGGTGTAGAGCAGCTTGTTGTCCAGGTCCGCTTTGGACTTGAAAGAGAGCAGCGACACGGCGTCGCTCTGGAGGAGGTAGTTTGTCTGTGCTGCGGCGGCGGAGATGAAAAGAAGGAGTGGAAAAATTGAGTTGGTTAGTAGAGGCATTTTGTTTTCTTTTTTTGGGGGGAAGCGAGGTAAAAACTACTTAGCAAGTTTGTGTTGGTTTCATGTTCGTTTGCTTTTGGTGGTGGTGGAGTAGTGAGAATAGAGAGGGGAAGGTAGTGTAGTGTAGTGTAGTGGTAGAGTAGGGTGGTGGTGGTGGTGGTGGTGGTGGTGTTTGAGTGTGTTGCAGTGCAGAGCAGAGCAGCTGGAATTTCTAGTGGGAATCAGGAAGTCACGTGGGAGTGGGGAATGCAGGAAAATATTTGTTAAAAAACAAACTGAGGGAGAAAGTGTTTGTGTGTGTTGTTGGTGGGCATTTTGGGCGCGTGATTTTATAATTCTTCTTCTGTCTGTCAAATCACATATATTTGTCGTCTTTTTTCTTTTCAGGTAAAAACTTGGAATATAATAAATGATCTTATTCATATTATATATTAAAGCTAGCCGAAAAAATTACTGTAAATTAAGTTTGTTAGGGTGATTTGGAAGTGAGTAAAGATTGGACGGACTATTATTAGTCAATTTTATTTTTATATTCTATGATTATGTTGCGGTATAGCAAATCTCTTACAACTCTACCACTTCTTAAAAATTCCTTTTCTATTGGCCATTAAATTCTATTTTATTAAATAAATCATTTGTTTAATAATTGAAAATCTTTCTTTATTTTACTTCCTTTTCCAACGTTACCTCCTCCTCTGCTGTCGTCAATCACCAACACAGCAAAACGCCGTCATGGTTCTTTTTTTTCTTATATTTCTTCCCATCTTCAGGAGGATACGAATTTGTTCAATCAAAATTTGATAATATATAATTATTGGGAATAAAATTCTATTGTATGCCTTTATATGATTGTCTTTCTTTCTGTTTTAGTTGTGCTGTACTGCTGTTGCCGATGGCCGCCACCACCGCTTGCTGCCTCCGTCTTTTTCTACCTTTTGCCATCCCCAACAATTTAAACCCAAACTCCCCTCCTCCTGAAGCCTCTACCGCCAACCACTATCACCACCACCACCACTTCAAAAATTTCATTGATTGACTCATGGACGAGTAAACCCAGATTGGACAAAAAAGAATTTCTTATTATTACAACAAGCAAAGAGGAAGATGTTGTGGCCGTAGTTGACAACTATGAATAAATAATATAGAAGGAAAAGAATTTTGGTTGTCTTAAAGAATAAATAAAATAAAAGTTTAATTTTTATTTTGAAAATAAAATATTAAACAAAAGAGGTGATATATATGGCTGATTGTGGATGACATAACGTAATAAATAAGGATGTTTTATGACATGACTTGGTATAGAGCAGGATAGAATTTCTCTCCACCTCTTAATATCTTGCCAAATGTACTGAACAACACCTTAATATCTTGCCATATGTATTAAACAACTCTGTTCCACGTAGCTCCATAATAATGGGTGCCATGTGTATGGCCTATTACGTTCCACGAAATAGTTTCTTTACAGTGATTTTCTTACCAAGTGGCCTATTCCTTTCCTTATAAATAAGAGATCCTCAACTCTTTTGCAATTCACCTTCAGGAAACTTGAATGTCTTTTTGTTAGTAGAATACGAGAGTTCAATAACAAAAAAAGAAGCTTTTCTAATACTTCAGACTTCCAATTTTCAACATAGGTATGTGAGATTTTTATTTTCATTATATCATTTATCTTTTTTAAATTGAACGATAAAGTTTTTATTAGGGAGAGTTTACTGTCATGGTTTTCTTTTCTGAGATCTTTCAATTATGAAAAGAGAGGTTGTTATCATACTATTCATTAACATTTCTTTTTTTGTGTAACAGTTTGTGGTAAGTAATTAACATACAACCTGGGACATCAAGAAACACCATGTGAAAAGAAATTCTCCGGTACTAGAAAATATGATAGGAGTCTTACTTTATATTTATCGCCTTTCCAACCTCTCAATTTAATTTGGAGATGAAAAGATGGAATAAAGTTGTAATAGTTTGGGTAAAAATTTGGTATTTTTACCGGACTGTAAAAGTCCTTTAACCGCGATTTATCGAAAGAATTAATCTTGGGTAATTAATTCAAGGTAAATCGGGCATCGTTTTTCAAAACCGAGGCTTTTCCCGCGCTCGTGATTTTTCCGTGGATTTTACGGACCAAAGTTAGTATTTTTCGGGTCCCGGAATCTTCGAAAAATCACACCGGAAAATAACCAAGAGGGTATCAGTTATTTTCTGGTCCGGACGGTACACGGCTTACCTGCATGATTGAGTTGTACAACTGCCTTTTCCCCTGTGTCTCTCGTGATTGCCTTTTCCTGTGAAGCTCGTGCTTCACCCCTATAACCTATCCTCTTCCCTGCAAACACACAAATAACCAGCTGCATCATCTCGTCTTCTTCAAATCTGCAACTCAATCTCGCTCACCCGTCCTGCAACTCAAACACTAACCAACCTGTAAAAAAAAGAGAGGTTATACAAAAAAAACAGAAACCAGAGAAGAAAGAAAGGAGAAAAAGAAAAGAAAAGAAAAAAAAAACAACAAAGAGCTACGCCAACCCGACACCACCACGACCCGCCACCACACACCAAACCCGCCGCTAGACCTGGCAAAACGGGTATTAACACGACAACCCGACAAGAACCCGACACGAAATTAGCAGGTATAGGTCAGAGATTTCCAACCCGTTTAGTTAAATGGGTCGACCCGACACGACACGAAAATTAGCAGGTCAGGTAGCGGGTTGACCCGCCAACCCGATAGGTACCTGTTTATGACCCGATTATATTTAGGGTATAGATATTTTACTGATTTAATATAAGACTTATCCAATATTTAA